AGAGATGGTTTAAATGCTGCTACATTTCATCAAAAATGCAATAATATCAACAAAACTCTTGTAGTTGGCAAAATACACAATTCTGAGCAAATAGTTGGTGGTTATAATCCACTTAGTTGGGATGGAAGTGATTATAAAAATACAACTGAAAGTTTTATATTTAATATAAGCAATAGAAATAATATTAATACTGCACAATTGAGTTATGCTATCAATCATCAACATCATCAACATGCAATTTACTGCAGTCCTTCACATTTAGCTATTTTTGGTTGGAATGATATTTATTTTCAAGCTAAGGGTACTATTGTTATTAATAATTTTGCATATAGTAATATCAATATAGTAAATGGTAGTAGATTTGATGAATTGGAAGTTTTTCAAATAATTGATAAAAAATAATAATAAATATAATGCTAGATTATTATTGTATTTCTTTATATATCTATTTTCATATATTTTTCATTAGTTATATATAGTTTAATTACTTTATATACAATAACATAAATAAATTATTGCTGGTAAAAATGCAAATAATTAATAAAAAATTTTCCATTAGATAGATATTCAACCAACTTAATGATGATTGCAACCGAAGCCTCTCAAGGATATGGCCAAACCTGAAACCTTCTGCCAAAATCTGAAACCCTTATATATAGAATTTAAAATCCTTGTTCGAACCTTTTTTTATATGGAACTTGTATTAGGTTTCTATTTCGAATAAGATTTATTTGAATTATTTGTTTTATTCATTATGAATTTTACCTTCAAATTATATCAAAAATCTATTCAAATAAAATGAATAATAACAATAAACGAATAAAGTGAATAAAGTATTACAAATAGAAACTCTAACTTGGTCAAAACTTCAATTTATATTTAAAACATGTATACAAAAAAATATAGGTAAGGTTACTAGATTTTTATGGCTAAATAATAACAATTAATGTTTCTTGTGTCTAAATCAGAAATACAATGATTGATTCTCTCATTGCAGATATTGGCTGGTTCTAATGAGTCTTTTCCTAATATTGTAATAGAAAAATGAAATTATTAGCACTTGAAAACTATAATTTGATCATAAATACAAATACCTTTTAATACCAGGAACAATTTGTGGAAGTTCTTGTATAGTTGATGCTTTTATATCATATAGTTTAACTTGATAATTCCTTTTGTGCTGAAATTTTATGAATTGAAAAAATTAAATGGTTTTGCACTAAAAAATTAAATGAAATGATAACATACAGCATAACCCTTGTTTCAATGGATTATAATTAAATTTGCATCATAATGTATTTTTAAAAATTTTGCTTCACATATAAAAATATATAAAATCCACTGAGATGCATTTAGTAATTTTGGTATGACAAATTTTAAATAAAAATTCCCTCATATCACTGGCTATCCTGTTGAAACAAGGATTATGCTATATACAAATTTTTAGACACATACATGATCCAATCTTAAATTCTAGCTGTTTCTTATCATTTTGGATTCTGCATACATATTCATTTAGTAGTATATCATGTGAATCCTGATTAGAAACATCTATATTTTCAAGCATTGTCAGAAGAATTGATATACTCTCTTTGGGAACATCATCAAGGATTCCATTTGAATGTTTTTGTACAGCAAGCTTGTAGATCCACCCAATTGAATTTTCCTTAAAAAAAATTTTGATTTATGTCTTCTGATAATTAGTTAACAAATAATAGAATTTTCCACAATTTTTGATTTTCCTTAATTATACAGTCAAACCTCGCCACAGCGGATTCATGGTTCCAACCAAAAAAATCCGTTATGACGAGAAATCCGCTGTGGAA